ATTCCATATGAAATAACCTTCTTTTTGAAACTCAGTCCAGAACTACATCTCCATGTCTTTGCTGCTGCTCAAAAAATCCTGAGCAGCAGAAAAAAAAAAACCCAAGCACTTCTCCCCTCCCACCCCCTAAAAACATCCCACCCTAGCAAGCCTGGCTTGGATCACCCTCTGCTTTTCAGAAGCCAATAGGAGACAGCAAGACTTATTACATTCGTTTCCAATTTGTGCTGCAAATGTTGGGAAAGGTCGGAGCAACAGAGCAGGCAAGCACAGGAGAACCACTTCTAGATAATACAAGTGCGGTGTCCAGGTCAGTGATATCCCAGAGCAGGCCAGTAATGGTTAAACAGTGACAGACCAAAAACCTCTTTCAAGAAGAATGACAGAACCTGTTCGGAAGAGACTTTTCACCATATATTTAGATGCCTAACATTAGGCTGCCTGAAAATAAGTAGGAGGCTCATGGAGACTTATTATCTTTGAGGCAAAATGTCCAGACCTCTCTGATGCCCCCACCTGATGTCTCTTTGCAAATCTTTGATTCAAATATAGGACTAAAACAGTTTCCTAAGATGACAGCTGCCTGTGCAGTGTTCTTTTAAAAGCAATTCCCCATTTAACTTTACCTGGCTAGTGAAGTAACATCAGAATGTTTAGCATGGTGGTGTTTTGTTTTGGTTTTCTTTTTTTTTGTTTGTTTTTGTCTTTTTGAAGAGTACTACATGCAGGTTAGTGAAACTTCATGATGCTATTCTGTAGTTATTTACCCATAACATGTGCAGCTAAAAGAGTGACTGATTACACTAGAGCAACAACAGCACCATGTGATTAAAGTGTTTACTTTTATGAAGTGGCTTCATACTTACACATACAGTTTGACCCGCTTGCCTGATAGCTTACCTGTCTTCAAGCATACAGCTTTATGTCTTACCGCTTAATTAGAAAAAGAAAAATCACAGTAATTTCAAGCCTAAAGATTGCTGATTTTGCTATCAACAAACTATTTTAACCATCAGTTTTAAAATCTTACACACAAGAATACTTCAAATCCACAAAGGAATATTATTTCCCCCTGTATTCTATCTCTATTGGGCAAAGGGTTCATACGAATCACTGCACACTGACTTAAAACTGAATACTGATCTAGATTTGAGTCTTAAATTCTGGATATGGAAGATGAGTTTTTAAATGTCACATACCTGTCCTTTAGCAACAATATTGCAAAAGAGTAAATGAATTCTGGAAGATATTCCCAATTTTTCCTCACCAAGTGACGTCGAGGAAAATTCCAACTGTGTTGTGAAGAATGTTGAGGAGCTTCTTTAACAGGTGTAATTTTATATCTTTTTTTTAAGCTCAGCTTAATTTAAGGAAGAGAAGTCAGAATTTTAGTTTTTCATGAATTAGCAGTGGAGAATACAAATGAACTTGTATATAATTTATGACTTCACCCACAAAATACAGCTCTTAGTATTAATATGTGACCACATTTCTAATGAATTTGGTTTAATCCACACAGCTTGTAAAATGAAGTGCAGGAAGTTTAACCTTTGGTTTCGTTCTATATCAAGGAATTTCTGCAAAATAATAAATTTTTGCACACAAATTTTACACTGCAAGCTTTACTTCCATGGTGAAGCAGTCATAAAAATTGGGCACTAAGGTTTTCTCCCTCCCCTTCTTTACCAAATTACCAAGTTTATGTTGCTGTTACTCTCTTCACAAATGAAAAACTCGAGCCTTGTTCATTGTTGTACACTGGATGACAGAAAAGCAAAGGGGCAGTGAGACCTAACAGTAATGGCAAGATACAGTTCTGTTAAACAAGTAGCATCTTGGTAAAAGTTGATAAAATGAGACACAGACCATAAAATATCAAAGTAACATTCAGTATGCTTTGGCTTCTCTTCTCAAAAGGAAGGGAGTAACAGAACTGATTTTATGTTAACAGAATATTGCTGAAGATACGCATAGCCTCTACAAACACTGAGAATTTAGCATTTCAACAAAATTTTGGCATTTTGGTCTGGAATATTGCTATGTTTATTTTAGAGTGATTCTACCTCCCCTCTGCAGTATTACACTGAAGTAGCGAGCCTTTTGAATGGTCAGTCGTTCAGCTGCTGCTCTCATTTGCAACTTGGCTTTTGGATGTGGTTAAAAAGGGTGACGTTACATTGACTCAAATCAACTTTTGCTTAGAAAAAAAATTACATTTGTGGCTGATGTGCTAATGCTTTCTTGGTTGAGTTTCCTTTTTACAGTGAAAGGGGGATAAGGAAACAGCCCTTGAGTTTTTCTGATAAGGGAGAGATAAATATGATACTCTTCAAGGAATTGCAGATGAGTAACACTGTACTTGCAGAGATAAAAGATTGCTAATGACAGATTATTTCAGCATCTCCAGAGTTTTTACTTTATGAAGTCTCCTAATGCAGCATGAAGCAGTCAAATTGTATACACATGTGCCTTAATGTTAGAAGCAAACAAGTCAAAAGCCAATTGCTTCTACAGCATAACCATTCAGAGATGTAGATTGGCCTGTACCAGTAATAGCATTTATACAACACAACATCGGTGCAGCTGGCGCAGTCAGAGCTTTCCTAGTGTAATTCCATCTTTGCAGAGAGCTTTGACAGAACTGCTAGAAGATATCCTACCTTATCATCCCTTGACCACCAAAGCTCTGCCAGCAGTGGACGAGACAGCAGACCTAGTCTTCTATTTTCTTAACAGTAGTATCTATCTCAGTCATTTCCTGTGAAGCTCTCAGATAACCAGTCATGAGATTTAAAAGCCACTCAAAGGCACTGAAAAGCACAGTCAGCTTTTTTCCCTTTGTCCCATTCTTTGTGCAGTATGGCTCAAGGGTGAGATTATGCATACCCATTAAAAAGACTTTGTACCCAGTACAAAGACTCCTTGTACATGGTCCTAATCTTGCTAGAACTGAATTTGAAATTAGATTATAAATAAAGATCAAGGTTTTCTGGTCTAAAATTAATTCTATTTAAGGGAACCCAGCCTACACAGTGGCATTTTGTATAATCTAGGTCAAGAGTTAACAACTAACATAAAACGCTTTCAAATTAAGTAAGGCATTTTTTATTATCTTCTTCAACATATTACTGGGGCTACAGTGTAATGCTGCAACATACTAGAGGAATTCTAGACTGCAATCAGTTCAGCTAATAAAAATGTATGTGGTCCTTGTGCCCAAATTGCTACTGATGTCTAGGCTTGTTCAGATACACGTACATTAGCTGCAACAGGTAGGCTCTTAATCCAGCAATGCCAAATTCTCATCCCATACCCATAACAGTGCTGAGAACATCTAACTCTCAGAATTCATTTAGAGTTTGGGTCACTCTGGAATGGTCAGGATATTGGTTAATTAATTCAGTTTGAGACAAAATAGAAGACACAGAAAACTAGAAATCAACAAAACTGCAAACAAAAGCTAATAAGGGAAGAACAAAACCTCCTGGCATTCAATAGCAGACACGTCGTATACACGTTTTGTAAAGGTTAAGTTACTACATGAAGGAAAAGATGGAAAAAGCAAGAAAAATTATACTTATCTCATATATAAATAAAACATTTGAAATAATTTCAAGTATTCCATCTGACAGGCAGGAAGAGGTACAATAAAAGACTGTGAAGTAGGTAAAAACTTTTCAGATTCACCTACTTGATATGAAATCAGTGTGGGTAGAGACAGAATGAGGAAACAGATTGCACTGATGACTGAAATCACAATACCAAGTAAAGTAAATAGTAGTCTTCAATTTTTGAGAGCCAGAAAGCACTCTGTTATGTGCAGATCAACACTGACAATCTGCTTATTTTACTATTAATTTAAATTAACTCACATGGAAACTAATGAGCAATCTTAAATTCCATTCACATTAAATTACGTATCAAATCAGCAAAGAACATTCCCAACTTAAATCAACTCTTTTCCACTACTGTCAGCTTGGTATCAGGATTAAGAAGCAAAGCAGGGCAAGCATAAGCTCACAATCACTTTTACGTAAAATGTTGTTCAACTGTGATACTATCCCAGATAGGAAAAAACTACACGATACCTTTCCTTTTGAGTTTCAGGCTTGCAAATATATTATCAGTTAGGTGAGGTGACCTTCTTCCTACATCAAGATGAAAAATTTAGAAAACCTCTTTAGAATAAGACTGGTTCTGTCTGCTTCTACAAGTCAGGAAGGATATCATCATTCCTCAGAGGTGTAGCAATTTGACTGTCAGAGGCAAACAAACAAGCTGTAGCAATCTCTTAAAATATTTCACATTCCTCTGTAGCTAGTTAAGCAAAGACTAAAGTAGTCTTAAAAATCCCTTATGTTAATTTGAATAAGCATTTTTCATTAGATTTCAGGCTTTTACCTTTTAAAAAAAAGATGTTTCATAAATAACTTGCTTTGAATCAAATCTTGAAATAAATATTACACATAGAAAACACAATATTGAATTCTGGAGTCTATGAAGACAACACTGAAAGTGGCCCAGCCTGCTGGTATCATGCAGACCTCCAAAAGATGAATGAGATCAGGATTTAAAACCAAACCAAACCAAAACAAAACCACAAACTGAAAAACACACCATGTCTCAAATGGAAATGGTATCTCTGTACTACAATATATAATTTGTTCTGGTCAACGGTATGTCTCCAGTTTCAGAGAAGTAATGATACAATATCCTGAAGCTAAGTATCCAAAAATTTCTTCACTTTGCTATAATACTGTAGACCTTTTACCATTAACGTAGTTCCTGCAGCTGAAACTCTATAATAGAAATAAAGTAGGTGCTCTGAAATACTTTCATGTTCTTGTATAACAGAAATTGGTAGGAAACAACCAGTCCAGGTTCAAAAGAAGTGTTTTTTTCTTCTCCAATTTACATATGCTGAGCATCTGATGTTTACTCTAAAAGCTGCCCACATTCTCTTTCCTCAGTTGGCCTCTTCATGCAGACCAGATGGCCTCTCAGCCTTCAAAAAGTATACACACTCCCAAAGAAAAAGCAATGTAGAATTTGCTTGCGTTTGCTTTACTGTTTATCACAGTTGGCAGGTTGGCTCTAGTCAGAACATTCTTCCTCTACCTCTTTTATCTTGCAAACTTCAACTTCAGATTGCAAAGAAGACTGAGGAGTGCAGCTGAATGTTCGAATGCTGTGTGGATCAACTGGTGGCACCAGTGTGAGTGACTCTACACTTAGTGCATCTGTATTGTCATCTGTTATTAATGATATTGTGGGCTGCTGTGCAGGAATCAGGCTAGGAGACAGGTTTGTTGTTTCTGTGTCAGTGTTTTTCACAGCATTCTTGCTGGACTTTGAGACAGCTGAAAGAGTTTCATCAGTCAACATCGTCTGACCAGAAATGGTCAACTGAGGCTGCTTTGGAGCTGAAGCGTCATCTAATAAAAGAAAACACCAATCAATATTCAACTTAGTATGCACATTAAGCCTAACAGTATACTATTATTTATATTTAAGAATAATTTAGCAGAAAATGCAGTTCTGTAAAGCACTATGCTTACACATTCACTTTCTAGTAACTAGAAAGAAAAAAAAATATTAAGCAGGCATAACATAAAATGCCAGCAGTCATCTGTTTAAATTAGGAACCAGAAAATTTTACACATTTAGTATTAGAATATGCAGCAATATCAGAAATAGTCCTAGAGAGAGGAAATTGAGGGGAAGAATAAGAAAGCCTCTTCAGTATTTAGTGTAGACTAAAGTAAATAGCCATCTTACACCAGGGAACTCTCTAGAAATTAAAAAAAAAAAAAAAGAGGGGGCTTGTTTCTTAAAAAAATTTGGAAGTCATTCTCTCATTTCATTCTCCAGATTCACATTTAAGTGACACCTCAACCACAGAAAGCAGAACTATGGAACAACAGGAAGGAGAATAATGTGCTTACTGTAACAAAGGTGCTGCAAAATGTGTCTATTTTTATACAGGTTTGTGTTATACAATTTTTTTTTTTTTTTGGCTCCTAAGCACGGAGCATACAACGCAGATAAAACTGGGAATAAGCATCACACACCACAGAAAACTGATATGCTACTACACCTTCCCACAAAAAACCAAAACTAAACATTAACAGCTATTTACACTGTCCTTTCTGCCCCCTTTAAATCCTAGCTAACTATCAAGTAAACTGCTCATTTTGCTCAGATGGATAGTGAAAGGAGGCAATGAGGCCATACAGCCTTATATAAGCAAGTATGCCCAGAAAAGTCAGGGTTTTTTTCTTTTCAGACTAGAGTAACAGATGTCATTAAAGTAACAGGTATCCAGCTTCAAGACAGGCCATTTTCAGAGCTCTCGTAAGAAACAGCATGTGTTCAAGTGTACAGGCATCTCCAGAAAAGTCTACAAGGCAATGCAGTGAATACAGAAGCTAAGAATTAGGTTCTGTTTTTAATACACAGTGACCTGAAAATATTTCCATTTCAATATGATTCCAATTAATCCTGTAACAGAACAGAAAACACGAACATAAAGAAAAAAAAATTAAAAAAAAAAATAAAAAAAAAAAGAAAAACAAAGCTGAGAATGGAACAGATATCAGTAAGGTTATCAGTGGGTCAACAGTAAGATTTTTTTTTTTTTAAACTTCCCGATATGATAACCCCTAACAAAGCTGTATTCGCACTTCAGTAAACCACTCAACTTTACTTTTTGCTGAATCGGTGGCTAAAGCGTCTTGCTTTAATAAAATCAAAATTTATAGATTTAAAAAATTCTCCTTTAAATAAAAGGGACATTACTGGTTATTTTTTAAAAATGAGGACAGATTCAAAGTAACTTTGCAGATTTGTCTTTTTAGCTGTCAAGAAGCTTTAGCGAGAATATAGTGATTGACAACAGAGGAAATGATGCAAGACTTGCACAGAAAATGAACTGCTAAAAACATTGAAATAAAGACTCATTTCCCAGAATTCCAAGATAAATACTAACATTTAAGTACACACAAAACAGTGAGTCTTTTTGTGGTAATTTTACTTTCTGAATTTATAAAATCTTAAAAGAATATAAAACATTCTTTGCCAAGGTTATTTTTTATCTTATTCACCAAAATTCAGAATTCAGAAACCTGAGACTTTCTGATAAATAAAGTATTACCAGTCAATGGCATTCTGCTCAGGAATGTTATATGCAACACATTTCTATTGCAGTTCTGCGTTTCACTTCTGATCCTGCAGTTCATTTCTTAAATCAACTCTCACCTTCTCCCAATAAAATATTAATATTTTTATCAATACTTTCATTTAGTGAAATCATGACAGACATATATATGCTTTAGTTATGCTGTATTGTCCCCAAATCCTTCCATGTAGGATCTAAATTAATGCTAAACTGACACCCTTCTTAATGCCACAAAGGAAAAGAAAGTATTTGAAAAAGTCTCCATTAAATAAAATATATCTGGAGTCAACAAGTCCAAATCTTCTATCCAAAAGTTCCTCAAAAATTCATAAAAAAATATAAAAATATCAAAAATTGGAAGCATAACATACTCTGTCCAGTATTTTAGCTGCAGTATTTATAGAGATATAATATATATAAAAATATAATACATATACAAAATTAGAGCTCTTCTATGCTTCCCCCTGCTTTTAGTTACTACTGATAGAAGTAAGTCTCTCTTATCTACTTTCAATATTTCATTAGTCACTGTCAAAGCTTCACGTATGTTACCCTGTTACTGTATTTAAGGGTAGCAGTGACAGATTTCTGTAACCCAGCCTGGCATTACTGCCAAAATGACTAGGTACTCTCAAACAGCCACCAGTCCCTGCAGGGGCAGAAAGCAAATACCAGTACACAGAAGGGGCAGGGGAAGGAGAATTTTTAACATTGCCAAGAAAAGGTCAACAACTGTCACTACCATTTTGCAATATATTATCCCTTTTGGTCTAAACTAGAAGTCTTACTCTTCAGTCACAGCTATAAACTACAGCTGTGAGAGCAGTACTTACATCTTTGAGACCAAGCTTCCAAATCCATAGGCTACTTGAGGTGTATACTTGGCTTGAGACTGCAACTATAAGTTTGTGGTAGGTAAGTTTTTAAGCATGATCATCTCCCATATCTTTTGGATACAAGGACAGAAGAAAACAATCCTAAACTACAGACACAGGAAACTAAATAGAAAATAGAATACAGAGATCCAGCAACTTGGAATGAAAAGTTGGTATATAAAAGGCATTACAATGACAAGTCAGACCACTCTCTTGATGCAAAAAGTTTTCACGTATAACACCTCCCGGTTAATTAAGTACATGTCTCCAGGACAATAATTACTAATGAGAAAAGCTCTGAGACTCAAAATTTCAAAGCATTTTGCAGTCATACTCAATTCAGAGAAGGATCCAAGTAGATAAATACATATTTATGTATGATCTGAATTCCTTAAATTCTCTGAAACTGGAAGAAACAATTGGCAAAAATTAACCCTCGCTGAAAAAATCGCTCAAGAAGGGATTTTGACAAGAATGTCTGTCTCTAAAATCCACATAGGTACCAAGCTTGATTCAAAAGAGTTTCAAGGCACCCAGTGTGTTTAGAGATTAAGTTCTCTACCCATTACCTGGAAATTCTGTCTATATTGCACATAAAAACACTAACTGGCTTTCAAAAAAACCCAAACTCTTAACATGTTTCCAGTCTGACTTTTGGATAGAAAGAGCAAAAATAGTTGTAATTTCTACCTGAATAAAATCACCAATCAATAAAATATGCTCTGAAAGTTATCTTCTCATATGGGAAAACAGCATTTCTATTTACTTCTCCCCAATCCTCAAGTATTAAAGCAAGAGCATTCTGCTACCAAGATTATAATTACAGAAAAAAAATTCAAACCAAATCACTCAACTTCTGTTATATTAACTTAAGGGTAATTATTAGTGAAAGAAGACAGGAAAGAACAGGAAAAGGAAAGAATTAATATCATCTACAGAGAAATGTCCTAAGCTGTACTGCAACATACTATGAAAGAATAACAAAAATATAAATAACAGGACATTAAGTGAAAACATGCAAAGTAAATCTATAAAGATGAAAAAGAGCATTTATATAATACTAACAGTAAAATATTTTCATGCCATGACAGTAAAAAAAAATAAATCAATTAGATACAAGTGAAAACAGGTTATATAAATAAGAAGGTAATCTGAAGTGTATTTCTCCATTTTTTGTATCTGCTTCCCCTCCTCATGTGCTCAGGCAATTAAACAGTCCATAAAGCCATCTGCCCGAGTTTGATGACCATAGGAAAATTAAACTTGTGCCATCACAGTCCAAGCACAGTCTTATGCTGAATGCTTGTCCATTTTACCCGAGTTCTTAATAGATTACTTGCTGCTAGCCAAGTACCTGCCTAACTGTGCTCACTAAATTCCACTACAGCCATAGCTGGCCCTGTGCAAATGAAGACATAGCTGCTTTGAAGCTGGAGGCTCGATAGCAGAATTTCCATCTTTGTCAAGAGAGCCAAGAAACATGGGAGAAACTGCAGATAAGGCTTTCAGAAACAGCTAGCTATTGCTTTACAATTCTCCCCCCAAAAACAACAGAAACAAATATTTACAGTGCTTTCTTCAGTTTCATACCTCACTATCATTGTTGTCAGCACAGAAACCAAATAAGTTCTATTAACTGTTACGGGCTTTTGAAAGCTTATGGAGGAACCTGCCTGAATTGATATTGCGCGAGTTTCTGTTGCAGCTGCTGCTTGAAGACCTAAACCCAGTGTCCACCGTGACTGTCAGCCTCCGACAGACTAAACACCCGCCGACGTCCTTTCCTGCCAGACCTTACTAGAGGAAAACACAGCGATATATCATACAAAGGCTTTAACAATGAAACAAGGAAGGGAAATTGGAATGAAGACAAAGGATAAATGTTAGAGTAGCAACAAGAATAAGTGACAAGGACACATCCATAACTGCTGGTATCTTGAATAAAATTTGACACCACACCAAGAGTCTTATAAATTTGGGAAATACTTCTGAAGCTGGAAGTATTCATTCTCTAGAAATAAGTGAGTTTAACTGAATTTAATTTTTTGCTTACCTATGTGGAAATGTCCGTAATACAGTTTGGGCGATGTCTGGCACCACCGACAGCACTTACACTGAGGGCCTGGCACGTATTTAGTCGCATTACAACCTGCTCACATGCTTTAGAAGTCTTGAAACTATTTGTCACAAATTCTGGTGACATAGAATTATTCTGATTTCCACCAGCCATAAATTATAAGAGGTGTACTACCCCGCCGATGACAATATTTCAGATCATTCAGCCCTACTATTCTGTGATATGAAACTGAAGTGTTAGATTTGGTTTATAACAAAGCTAAACAGAGTGTCTTAAAAGACAGCAGCAGTTCAGATGATGATGCTT